ACCAATATCAAGCCGGTGGCCTCGTGACAGCTTGTTGAAGCTACGCCGAAGAATGAAAACCGCACGGGCAGCCGCGCTCGCGGGCAGCGATACTATTGTGTTGCCTCTCCGGTGAGTTTTCCTTGAAATTTTCTGATCGTTCATGAACTCGAATGCTCGTTGTCTTGCGGCAGGAGTGCCACGGCAACGATTGCAGACGAGTCTGCTTACTGTGGGCGTGATGTGTTTCGTCGTCGCCATCATCGCCATCGTCCCTACCTTCGCCCTCACAACGTATTGCCATGTGTTGTTGTATATATAGTTTATGTTTAGGTGCTGTGTGATCTTATGCGGGCACCGCGGGGCAGCCTGCTCTCAACAAATGCAAGAATGTTTCGCGAGATATTTCGCTCCGATGTGCATTCTATACAAGTATTTAGAAATTGTATTGGAGAATTCAAAGACGTCCTAGTATTAGAAAACTAGAACTTCCTCAACAAAACGTCTCTTCTTAGTAATATGGTTATACACACACGCGCGCGAGCGCACGCACGCAGCGCACGCACGCACGCACGCCACGCACGCACGCACGGCACTCACTCACACACCACGCACGCACGCACCGGCACGCGCACACACACTACACACATCGCAACACACACAACACACACACACAACACATATATATATATATATATCCATGATACATTGATACATGTCCTGATAGCATGTACATGATACATATTCCTGATACATGTCTCGCCCTCGTCGTTCGTTACGTCGGGCCCTCTTGTCATGGCACCCCTTATCGCGGTGAACGGATCAACGAATTAACGGCAAGAGCTATCAATATCTCGGTGCATCCCTATGCGCGCCGGCATTCTACTAGTTCATCGAAGGTTGTTCAAGTTCGGCCCAGGTAAGTCTCCACACAAACGCCGTATCGTCACGTATGACACAAACGTACCGCTTCTTTACCAACCCATTTCCATTAGGCCATTGCGCATCCTCGCTGTGTATGTACTGACTCCACGTGCTTACTGATCCACTATGGCTCGTAAAAAACATGATAGGTTCGTGAGGTTGCAGCACCGTGCTCGCTATCGCACTTACAGCAGTAATGACGCTTACAACTTTGATAAAACGAAAGGCAGCTAAAGTTTATAATAATATTCTTCAGGTGTGTATTCGAGATTATCGTTCGCGAGGCACCCCAGGATGAGGTCATTATTCGATCAGGGGAGGAGGATATACTTACTCTGTGTCGTGCAATGATGACGGGACTAGAAGACCAAAGTAAGCTTGTGAATAAATTATGATCGTGTTCGATTGCTATATCAAGTGACATAGCTTATTATAAGGAGAGCATGTGGCGTTCCACCGCCTGCGCAGCGCTTACGTGATGTATTCAGTATTGGTATTCTAGATATAGGTATGTCTCCAATGAAGAATAGTGCCCCGTAAAAATGGAAGTGTCTTGCCTCGTTCACGGGTAAGATGATTCACGATGACTACCAAGCTGGTGATGGCTTTGTCTGTTCTCATGTACTTTTCCTTTTTCACTGGCAGTCTCTGTAAGGATGGAGTGTTAATGATCATCGATGAGGCTGACAAAGATATATTATCGCGGAAACCCTCCTTTCGAGAGATACACGTATGTTGATGAGAACCACAACGCGGCGGAAACTACAATTTACGAAATAGCAAACGCCTCGCCAGAGGACAACGCGCGTTCAGATGCGTATTGGATCACGGTTCGACAGAAGAGGAATATGAATATTCAAACACTGCAAAAGTCTTTCGTTGCAGGTAAACGGGAATGCTATATCACGATATCCCGCGCCATGGGAGCGCCATGCACACGGCCTAATTGAAATTCTGGGGATATTCAGCGGTTCGAGTAAAATCGCCTGCACGCATGCAATTCTACGGGTGTTGGTTATCTTTCTCAGTTGTCCAGCCAGTACGCCAGCACGCACTTAATTAGGAGTTGTTTTAGGAACAACAACAGCTAGGTACTATAAAATGAGATGTGATCGAACGAATGCCGATCGACATTGGCGTGCTATCTGAAGTGGAACATTGACGAGTCGACGATCGCTCTCTAGAGCTAGGCTAGTACATACAAATCTATACACGTTATAATATCGATCAGGATTTAAGTCAATACTACTTATTGCAGTGCCGCCGACCCTGTACTACTTCATGCAGAATGATAAGGAGTTAGAAAGGCAACACGCCCGGCAGTGTTTGTGAAGAGACAGAGCCGGGCTTGCTAACGCTATTCATCGCTGATGGAAACCCGGCCCCTGTGGAGGTGACGTGGTATCGTGCGAGTGCGGGTGCTGAGGTGAGTCGCCTCGAACTAAATACTTTACGTTCTGGTAGAAAACAACGATTCACCTACAGTTAGTAAAACCGTGAGACGGACTGATGAACAGACGGGCGGATCGAGGATAGACGAGTGGATGGATGGATGGATGGATGGATGGATGGATGGATGGACTGGATGGATTGGATG